ATCTTCCTGAGAGTGACCACAAGATAGCAGGGATCAACTCTGAGGGAATCACCTACTACCACGATGTATTCAAAAATATTAAGTTTTTGTGACTATCACATCACTAACTGGAAAGACTGTAATCAAACTGCGATCTCTAAACTGGGATGACTATTCCCTCTTCCCTGAACCTCAACATGCAGCCGACTTGTTATAGCAAAACGTAATCTCGTGTCTGGATGTCTTCTGCTCGATGCGTCACAGGCACACTTTCCTCAAAACGAGTCAGACCACTATCTCGTCGCATATAATACGAATGCCAAAGAAGCTACGATATAGACTTAAAAAGACTAACAGTTTTAGTCTATTAATTCAGCAACATCAAATAATGTCATCCTTAGAAACAAATCAGTCCTTTAAACTTCTCAGAGATAAGACCAATGCCTTAGCCTCCTGCAATAAACCAAAGGAAACGACTAGACTATTCCAGCTCAGGAGTAACTTCAAGCACGATGTACCACCTTCCAATACATCACCCAACAACAGCTTTTCTGCAAACGTGGCTCAGATGTGTGAGGTTATCAGTGAATACTTCCCATCGTCTTTCACAGATCCGTGCACAGTACCGATGGTAAACATCCCCACCCAAACTGCAGATTACATCTGTGCTGTTGAATTTGAGCAGTCGAACATAAGAACTGATATACTCAATGCGAACAAGCTGTTATCCTGGCCCGGATGGCATACCGTCTGCTATGCTCAAATTCGGCGGCCGTGATATCCCCATACTGCTTCAAAATATTTTTACCTTATCCATGAAGTCTGGGGTTGTTCCAGATGTGTGAAAATGTACGTTGTTTTCACCACTATGTAAACGTGGCTCACGAGCTATCGACCCATCAACCATACCTCCATTCTGTGTAGAACAATGGAAAGGGTAATAAAAGCCAAAATTGTTAAATTCCTATCGTCCCGGAATTTGATCAACACTTCCCAGCACGGATTTCTGTGAACACGGTCATGTATTATTTGTCAAGTAAAATTTCTACACTTCCTTAATCGTTACATTGACCGTGGTAAGCGTCTGATCATCATATTTCTTTATATGCATGGTGCGTTCGATCGAGTACCATAAGGAAATCCTCTATCGAAAGTACATTCCTTTGTTAAATCTGACAATTTACATTCTTGGATGGCATCCTACTTTTCTGGTCGGCATCAGGCAGTTGAAATACTAACCAATACTTCCACGAGTAGAAAAGTCACAAGTGGCGTGATCCTAGGAAGTTTTCTAGGGCCTCTTCTGTTTTTATTGTACATTAACGACGTCTTCGATGCCATTAAACCCGGCAAACCATACGTATTCGCAGATGACATTAAAATTTGTCTATGAGTTCGATTTGGACAATTCCATTAACGCACTAGCCGACATACAAGCGGATCTGCATGAGCTGGAAACTTGGCGTAGCCAGTGACAAATTGACTTCTCATCCGAGAAGTGTAGCCGCGTATGTTATCGGTGCAGTATTGCATCAAACTTTTTGATACTAGAAGGCAAAGCCCTATCCACTTGTCTCACGATTCATGATCTTAGGATACACTACTCGAGCTCCTTCAGCTTCGCCGAACAGGTACAGTACACGGTTGCAAAAGCCCGTAAACTAAATGGACTAATACTAAAATCCTTTATTATAAAAGAATCCAAAATCTACCTGTATCAAACTCGTATTCGCCCCCTGCTCGAATACGGCTCATTAATATTCTCCAATTCGAGAGAAGCGCCTACTGAGAAACCCTGGTGATCTTACCTACTATGACCGTTGCTGTGAGGTGAACATAGAACTTCTCTGGTTAAGGAGATTAAAACTTAACCTGAATTTTATGTTTATAACTCACAAACGCGTCTTTACCTCGGACATTAAGGTTGTACTTCAACCTTCCCTCAAGTTCAATATAAGGAATCGTGATACCATGTTACACATCGAAAATGTGCGAACTAGCTTAAGATCAAATTCCTTTCCTAATCGCTATGCAGTGATGTGGAACAAACTACCACAGAATATGAAAACGTGTGACTGAAAGAGTGTTTTTCGTACTCTAGTTAACAGGGAATTGACAGTGAATAATGTGTAGGATATGCTAAAAATAGAGGTATAACCACGTTGAACAATGAACAATGATTTATCACGGGATAAAAGCAAGTGCTTGACACGTCCCGTAGGATGGTAGCGGTGAATATGATGCAGTTAAAATATGTCTGGGTCATCTATCGAACGTCTGCCGAGATGAATACTTTGATAATTAACATCAGTGTAAAATGAAAAAGAAATATCGCGCGTAAACATTCAGAAAGACACTGGGGCACAGTGATAGTTGAGGTAAGGAGTGAGAAAATAAAATATGGTCGCTCACTTAGGTCCATTTGATACATTAGTCCTGTTGAAAACATGCTTGGCGTAATCCACAACAGAGGAGCTTAGGTAACAAAATGTTGGGAGCTGAGAGCAACATCTAATCGTTTTTTGAAAACATCCAGGGTAGGAGAGGATACTACTGAGTCTGGGAGTGCGTTCCATGGTTTGCTAACCCGAAGGGAAAAGTAATTCCGTCGACACTCTAGACGGCTATATTGTTCCTTCAACTTTAAGCGGTTACCCCTGAGCTGCGTGTTGTGGCTGTTTCAGCAAATGGCGGCATACGTGGTTGGGGTCACTCAACATCTGATACGCTAATATGAGATCGCCGCGCAGCCTTCGATAACGTCCGCTGAAAATTCCCAGCAACTTCAGCCTTCGGTGGTAAGAGTGATACCGCAGGCCCTTCACGGTCTTTGTTGCTCCCCTTTGTGGTGCCTCTATCGCTTCTAGGTCGCGTTTCAACCAAGGTTGCCAAGCTTGGATTGCGTACTCAACATGCGGGCGCACGTAGGAATTGAGCATCATTGGGAAAATTGATGGGTCAAATCTCCCGAATGCCCTTCGCAGCATGCCGACGTGCTGGTTGCCTCTTTTGGCAGCTAACTCAACCTGTTTTGAACAGTTGAGGTCGCTCTGTACGATCACACCAAGATCACGTTCCTGGGAGCTATACTGCAATTCGTTTGTCCCAAGTATATAGGTGTAGTTATGTCTATGGCGTAATTGTACTACGCGACATTTGTCTACGTTGAACGGTAGAGCGTTTTGAACTGACAAGTTCGATACTGTGTTAAGATCGCACTGGAGCCGTTCATGGTCATCCGGTCCTCTGATCCTTCGCCATATCTTAATATCATCAGCGAAAAATAAGAAATCGGAAGTAATTGATCTCGCCAAATCGTTAATGAACACCAAGAATAGACGAGGTCCAAGAACCGAGCCTTGTGGTACTCCACACGTCACGTCGCTTGCATGAGAAAATGATTCTCGGACTCTCACCACTAGCCGTCGTTCTTGTAGAAAATTGCTAATCCAGCTCAGGATTGGATCGCCAATGCAGTAGTTCCGAAGCTTCTGAAGGAGAACTCGATGGTCTAAACGATCAAACGCTTTTGAAAAGTCCAAGTAGATGACATCGACTCCAACTCCATCATCAACAGAATTGTCTAGTGTATCGATACTTCGAGAAGTCATCCGTTTTTGACACTTCCCCTGTGCACTTTGGCCGGTCTTTCTTGCGCACATATTTTGTATTCTTCTTTACTTCACTGTTGACCACGATTGGGTCCATCTTCTGAGGTGCCGGATTTTAAGTTTCCAACGCCAATAATAATTCCCATTTGTTCCCTGGTGATAAAAGTGCTTTACTCAAAAAGCCAGCTGATTGTACTGGCAAGGTGGCTTGGCTGTCCACACCATATACACAAAAATCAGCTCTAAAGATGAGTTACATAAGTGATGGTTTACCTGTTTTAAAAACCACACCGGCACACGGCCAGATGGGGCATGGGCGTGCAAGTAAAATCCATCGACAGAATAACACGCATAGAATCAGGTCCCCAGGAGGCAGTCCCAGTAATGACCGTATTACTTCACTTATATGTATTATTTATCTACACTTGTTATCTTTTACAACCTCACAATCCCCATGTCTACCGAAAAGCTTGAAAACTGCTTTGGAAAATTCGAAAAATATAACATTTACTCTGCGATTTTGCCTTACACCAAAAATCGTAATATTCAGTTAGGCCTTACTTCGCACCGACGAGAGATATACCTTTGTTTTTTATTCACCACAAATTCATACTGCCTATGCAAGCGCATGTTACTACCTGTACATATTTGATCTGCGCCAAATATGGACAGCTTCTCATTTAAAGGGAAATATGCCCATTATTATTATTGCTATTATTATCTGACGTTGATTAATCAAAGCGCGGCAGCTGATCCAAACGGCTGGCAATCATAATTGCAGTAATCTCTTAAGGGATAAATGGTTGTTGTGTTGGTTGCATCAGCTTACTTGGACGCAGTCCTCGGTTTTCAATTAAGTTCCACGTTTATCTGTTTTGATGATTATTACCGTATCTTTTCTGTAACAGGACGCTCGATTGTATACGAAGCGTCCTCTTCGTTTTGCACCTGTCCAGAATTTAGCTGATGATACTTGGTCTCTGTCCCCTTCCTGATACTAACATTAAGATAGACTAAGCCCGAAGTCGATTGAATTGGCAGATTGTATTTTTAATACCTCTATTTTCCGACGCTTTACGTTCCCCCGGTTTTAGACTGCGAACTTTACGCCGACATATGGGGTCGCGCACCAGTTTCCACTAGGACGGACGAGTCTGGAGTTGAAGAAACCCGTCAGTGACTAGTGTAACATTCCCTAGTACCGCTAATCTCCTACGGTTGGACAAGATTAAAGGTGTCTTCAATGGCAACAAGCATGAGCTTGTTATCGGTAGATTGAACTCGTGCAAATTAACTCAGGCCTCCATTTTTCTTATGTCAATTAACTTTTCCTTGACAGGTTTTGGACGAGGGTTTTCACCGTCTCATTCTCGATCCCACCGGTTCCTATTTTCTCCCTTCTTACGTAAGCAATGCATGAGAGCTTCGTCCTCCTCCGGTTTCCATGACACATCGCCACCCTCAATTTGGACAGTCCTCGGTCTCATGGACTATTCTCCTGCGTTGTTCAATCTTGGTGTCTGGTACGAGCGCCGGGCTAGAACTCACTGCTCCAATTCGTCCAGTAATTACCTCGACAAGGCTGAGGAGGCATATAGTCGCGCTCTACAGATTGATGTTCACCCCTTGGCATCTTACAATCTAGCCTGTCTATTGTTGTCGACAAAGCGCAGCCATGCTAAAGCTGGTACTCAGACATACTCCGTCGACGACCTGATGAGTATTGCTGCTCGTCATGGTGTGAAAGAAGTGAGTCTAATTCCAGTACTAATGTGGTACGCTCTGAGGAAACAGATCATTCCCTAGTGCTAATTATCCTCACACATTTGTAGAATATCCCACTGAACGACTATTCCGGGTGAATTGGCCTGTGGTACCAGCATCTCACTATATGTTTCTTATTGCTATCTGCTCAACTATTAGTGTTACCTATTTATTGACAGTAGCTCAAACATGTTGCAAGTTTTGATCCATCTTAGGCAAACGGCTTATTCAACGAATGGTCGCGCATACATCGCACGCCGCCGGAAGCGGTGTGTTGGTATGCGTAACACATGGCCCAGTCATCAGGGCCTAATGCTTGAACTAACGGTCCTGGGCGGTCCACGTCCTTTATTTACGCCATAAGCAAAGCGATGAACACGCTCATTGCTCACTCGACGTTTCCATTAGACATGAGCTAAACTGCGAAGGTACCGGTGGTCGAACGCAGTTAGCCTCTTTATATCTGTCGATCTGATGGGCCACGTTTCTCAAGCGCAGAACGGACAGCTGCATTGTGGATTTTTCCTTTTAGGGCGAGAATTATATCGCACCCGTTATACTAGTGGTGAACATTAACGACAGCTCGAGCTTTGCCTATGCGGTTTGTCATTTCATCTTCTATTCCGCAGATGCTGTTATTGGGGAGCTTTTGACTAATACTGTACGTACAGTATCCGCCTTACTCTTTGATGATGCTCGGCAGAATTCTCGCTCTGCTGCTAATGGAGTGTATTTCATAGAATGCTTCGTATTTCGACGAATTTCTATATGCCATGTTTTATCTGTTCACTTTCTCGTTGATAGTAATCACGGCATCTACATCTACTTGGCTGCGGTTACATACTGTCTTCGGTGCTCTTCCCGTTCTCGCAACAGTTTGCTTGCTTATGTGAACCAATGTCAGTCGCTGTCACTGTTATGCTGACATGTTCTTATCATCTACACACTTGATATACCTACTTCTCTCATTTGAAGCCATGCTATCAAACATGGGAGATTTCTGCAACCTGATCTGTGCCGAACTATTACTGCTGGCTTTCCTCACCATATCATCATGTTGAATAATTGTCTTGGATATCCGTTTCATTTCCGTTTGAATTGAAGGGTTGTTTTCCGCCTGTACTCTGCTTTGTCACTTTTGGCCGTCGGCGACTATTGTCTGTTTGCTTTATTTACGGTCCGCTGCACTCTAGAACTCCTATAATCTAGACACCATCGTCAGCCGCTTCTCTTCTATTCCTCCAGCTACGATTTCATTGGCTGAAACCAGACTTTCATACTACGCAGGCATCAGGGTTTACAATTTTGTTTACGTTTCGATGTCCTCGTTACACACAATCTTTCACTTTCAGCTGTCTAAACTGCCTTATCTAAACTATTTTCTAATTTCTTTCTGCATCAGGTACTAAGTTTCCTATGCACATTTAAAGCGTTATTTTTGCATCATGAGGTTGTACGCTAGCTTTTCTTATCCCACTTCATGTTGCCTTTTCGTCTAATTTCCCGATCACTCACACTAATTGCACCACCTTTGGTTTTTCTTCCCATTCAGGCGAAGGACTACTTGCGCCAACGACCATCGTCTTACTTTCCCAGCAAATCTCCATAAAGTTTTATCTGCATTTAAATGTCTCCATACCTCTGGGGATTTCCACATTTGCATTATTCCCCGTAAATCCCCCGGTATTTTGGCGTTTCCCATTGACCATGTTTGGTGTAGGTTTTTGATTAAAATTTCACTGCTTAACTTTGTTCATTAGCCGTTAATATATTTCTATCCAGATCCCATAGTTAACTTCGCTACTTCTCATTGGTCATGATTCGCATCGGTAATGCTCATGACACGCTTCGGGATGCTTCCTAAGCGAAATACTTGGCTTGCATGATAAATCCAAGTGACACGCACTATGGGCTTGCAGAAACGACTAATCTGCGTGCTGTATGTTCGTTCTCCTTATGCTCTAACACCTAGCTGGGAAGCCGACGACTTCCTTTCATCCAATTTTAGCTGGGCTTTTCCCACGGCATGTGCTTCCCACGATTTTATCAGATCCCTCCGAAAGTACCTGATCCGCAATCCATTTGACATATTTGCAAGGCAGCGTACCTTGGTGGTTAAGTTCTGGGTGCTCTCCGGTATTGAGATGCAAGCCACCGCAGTGGTGTTCGTACACCTTCATTCCAGATATACTAATGGTAACTCAGCTTTTTCATTAAGCGAATGTCGCCTGCCACGGGACGAAAAGGCTGATCAACTTTGCAATTTGAGTGCGTGTCACTAGTTGCTTGTCATATAGATTAAAGCCGGAATTATTGGGATAACTGTGTTGCCGTATAGCTCTCCAAGAGTCAAAACGATCTCTGGGCTGTGACAAAATCTATTAGTAAAGCGAAGAAGTATCCATATTGTACAAACGCTGGACGCACTATTCGGTTATGACATTCTCACCGGTCGTTTTTTTGCTTCCTACGCCATATGTCTATGCTCTTTGGTCGGTATCCATGATTCTTCTGCTCTGCCCGATCTAACCTACTTAGCTCTCTCCACGATCATGTCCAGCCTGACTCCCATCGCTGCGCCAATTCTCCCCTTTTCGTCTGACTAGCATGATTGTAGTCAACTCGCGTGGGCGGCACCTGGTTCGTGTTCTATTCGTTTACCCTGTGGATTGGTTAGCGTCGCATTCCGTGCTTTTAGTGTGGGATCGTCGATGCGCACACTTCGTCCGCTCAAGACTGTTCGAATCAGTCCGTTTTGATCTTGTCCATGACCAGGTTGTGCTTTGGGCAAACTAAACTAATCCATTTCTATTTCGTCTCCCTGGTTCGCACAGTCGTGACCAGCTGGCGTCGGTGGCGATTGATTGGCTTCCTGTCTGCCTATACCCACGCACAAACGACCAACTACCACCACACGTCTTGTGTGGTAACCTGTAAGCTGAGTAGGCCAATGTTATTGTTGCTGATCTGGGCCTACATTCTGTCCCTTCACTCATCAGTAGTGAGACCACTAGTGGACGCCAAAACTCATCGCAGTTACAGGTGGGCTGGCGCCAATCGCAGTTGCTTACACATCGCGACAGTAGAGATTTTTCGCGGTGAGTGTTAAATATTTCTTCCAACTCAGTGACAATTAAATTCCATCTATCATTAAATGCACCCCTGGAAGAAAACAGATTCCCCATGACCTAACCGGTAACGAAAAGGTGTTGTTAATTTATTATTGTCCAGTTTGCTCTCCTTGTATTTTGACGTATAACTGCTTGCACGCACCTAGTCATTCATTTGTAGTTGCGTCATTTACGTAGCTCAGCTAAGCAGCTTCTGGTCATTTGAACAGTGCGATAGCTTCATAACACGTCATCCACTGAAGCTTGATATTGGTCAGCTGAATTGAACTGCGTGAATGGCAGTTTCGACTAACACTTCACTTGTGGCTATCGCAGCAAACTTGTCAGCTAGAATTTGCTGTGTATCCAGCAGACGCTAATGTGGTCATCTGCGTCCCATACATGTACCCTGCGTTGTGTGCATTATGGGCTACCAGGCACCGGTCACACCGTGTCTGCGTGTTTCCTCTTGAATTCCAGTTTACATCCGTGTCAGTTCACTGCAGTCAAATTTGAAAGGAACACATGACGTTGTGATATTTTAGAGACGGTTTATTTCAAATGAAATTTGTCGTTCCTGCATCGCGATTGCAAGAGTGTAAGACGCATCGCTGTTTGCTAGGTCATTTTGAAGTACGTAGCTTTGAGTTCAGATGTTTGGAAACAATCGGTTGGTATAATAGTTCGGTAACGTTTCGCCCTTGACACAAAGGCTTTGGCAGATCAGGTGAATCCATGTGCAATTGGAGTGGGCTTTTATAGCGAAAAGGGGCGATAGCCGCGTTACCCGAGACGATAACAGTTCGTGATGTCACCTCAGGTGGTTCAATGACAGTGGGAATAGTCCAGGTGTTCGTTTGTGCGTCATGGCATTGACGGATAAGCCCTCGGTGTTGACAGTGGGAGGCGGTTTGCACTTTTCAATCTGATCCACGCGCCGATGCTCGTCAGGCTGGCCGGCCTAAGATTTCTCGCCAAGCGTTAGAGACTTCTACCCCTCCATTCTATTCGCGAAGCCGTCAGATTTGGCAATTTCCACCGTCTCGGCAATCAACCGCTGAAGTGTTGATCGTATACCCCTCCTAATGACCTCTACATTGTTCAAGTCCATCTGGTGACCCGTGTCTAATGCATGCACAGCCACGGCCGAGTCCCTTACAACTGCCTCGTATTCATACTCGTTTCTTAGTGGTCTTGGAATGCGCCCCTTGTGCTCTGAAATGCTTGTGCGTGATTCTCTCACTGTTTGGCCTATGTACACATGCGCAGAGTCCTTACATTTAATTTCATAAACACAGTCATTCTATCCTTGGGAAGGGGGTCCTTCAGGTGTACCAGCGCCGAACGTAACGTTCGACCTCTCTAAAAAATCACCCTTATATTTTCCTTGTTTACTACCCTCCGAATCGCCTTGTACGGAATTCCTACCACCAAGAAACGAGTTTGAATACGAAGCAGTTGTAAGAAACTCAGCCGTGGCTGTGCATGCATTAGACACGGGTCACCAGATGGACTTGAACAATGTAGAGGTCATTAGGAGGGGTATACGATCAACACTTCAGCGGTTGATTGCCGAGACAGTGGAAATTGCCAAATCTGACGGCTTCGCGAATAGAATGGAGGGGTAGAAGTCTCTAACGCTTGGCGAGAAATCTTAGGCCGGCCAGCCTGACGAGCATCGGCGCGTGGATCAGATTGAAAAGTGCAAACCGCCTCCCACTGTCAACACCGAGGGCTTATCCGTCAATGCCATGACGCACAAACGAACACCTGGACTATTCCCACTGTCATTTAACCACCTGAGGTGACATCACGTACTGTTATCGTAATGACACCTAGGTTCAAGTCTCGGGTAACGCGGCTATCGCCCCTGTTCGCTATAAAACCCCACCCAAATTGCACACGGATTCACCTGGTCTGACGAAGCTCTTGTGTCAAGGGCGAAATGTTACCGAACTATTATACCAGCCGATTGTTTCCAAACTTCTCTGAACTCATGACTACTCGATCGGTTCCAGGTATCTTCCAAGAATCCGAAACCTACATAGTTTGTTCTCGTCAGTGTGAAGCACTTGATCAAAGGGATGTTCATGGTGGTGAAGACACGTGTAATAGGCAGTTGCACGAATTATTACAATTTACCCGATAGCATCGGAATTTATGTGTATAGGCTGACAAGTAGAACTCTGTCTAAGTAGTCATGTTGGGTGAGTTTGTAAATGTGACACCGAATTTGTGATTTTGTTCGCTGGGTTCACCATCAAATGAACACTTTGAGTTGGATGAGGTTCGTGATGTGGGAATGATCATCTGGAAAGGGAAGTGGTAGTGACTTTATTTAGTGGCGAGTCACATCCGCCACGTCACAGTGTTGTTCAACGGACATCTGTGGCATTTTATAGGGAGAACGCTTGTCGGGCGAAATCCCACTACGTCCTGGAACACTGCCGCCGAACCATTTGCCGGAACAGGATTAACCCGAACCACCCAGCTGGCACCACGTGGAGGTTGTTCGGCTAGCCATAATAATGTTGACCTTGATTCATATTGAATTGAACCTTACTCAATCCGATCACTAGGATCGTAGCTCAAACAGATAGAAATTGGGTGCTGTGCGCAGTCTTTTCGGACCCCTCGATATTTATCCTATCCGATCATTTACTTCATACACGGCCGAAAAGACAAGAATGCGAAGCAGTGGACATTGTTTTGAGAAGCGAAGATGGGATACTAGCTGATCAATTAATAGGTTGCTTGTACTGCTAGTCTTCGGTCCCCTCTGCTTGGCGCTCTAACCTAACAGACAAATCGTATATTAAGGCGCGGTTAATGGTGTGTATTTTGCGTCGAATAAGGAGTAACTCTAGTAATCTAACATTCGCTCGTATGTAAGCATCGTTTTCTTCTGATCCACGATTCAGCCACATCCGTTGTGAACGCGCATGGCCCGGCTGATTTGATGTGCACCATGTTTGGTCATCCGCTGGCGTTCAGACACCGACCCTTCCGTGGTGTTGATGTACACCAGATTACACTCGTTCTCACGGTGTCGCTGTGTGCTATATTTGGGGAACTACTCGAACATCTCGTAGAAAGCCTTGTCGGGAGCGTAGGGTTTCGCCAGTTTCTGTGCTGTCTGCATGACTCCTTCGCTTTAGCGTCGTGCGCAGGTTTGTGCTCTGTTTGGGTTACTCTTACGTACTATCACTATGTGGCCCTGACATTGTCCGTTTCCGCAGGTAAATACTTAGTTATAAGTTGTGCGCATACCGGAAGCAATTCAACTGGACTGGTAACCCTTCGGTCGGTAACGTGATCCAACTTTCCTTATTCCCTTAGATGTGTGTCTTAGAAGGTCAACGACTGACTCCGATGTTGCAGCAACTCATGTGACGCGTTCTGCTAACTAAGGTCCTTATTAGCGGATTGCAAGAGGTGTGAACATTAATAGTCACTGAGTTGCTTCGTGTGCTAGGCTCGCCCATTCCCCGATCTTCCTCGTTAAATTAATTTAGTTCATCTTGTCAGTTATGACCCTGTACTGAGGTGCTGGATCCATTTGCCTCGACACATGACACCGAAGTGATGATAATAACTGTTCAAGATAAAGTTATTAAGCGAGATAGCTAATAGTTGAAAAATTGTGGCGCGAATGCAAGTTCCCCACTGATTTTGTCAGTGCGCA